TGCAAGTTCTTTTTGCTATTGCGTTGAGTTTCTATCCAGTAGAGCTCGCAATTCCACATTTTTAAGCTTTCGAGGCTGTGCGGAGAGTGGCTGATCACCAAGATCGAAATCACCACTTCAAAGGCATTTGTGTCAATAATTACACGTTTCATAATACACGATGTCGGCACTAAGATCACTACAAGTCGATTTTCATGCTTTAGAGGCATGTTTCCAGTTAGGAATTTGTGTGAAATGCCGTGCCGAATGTGCTGTTTATCGGTTGCCATCGTAAATTCCTCTTTTTTTGAGAGACTATGCAACCTACGTAGACGTGTCATTTGGTGTTCTGCAACCGTATTTGCAATGCTTTTGAGACCAAAAAAGACCGCGAAAATGTTTCCACTATAAATATATATTTAATCACGACGAAACTATCTGAATCTATTAAGTCACTTTTTAATTGTTTTTTAAATAAGTACAATATGCAAAGTATGGATACATAACGTTAATCGTAATATTCCTGCATTTTAATTGTCAGCTATTAAAGGATTTTTAGGGAGTCAATTAATGGACATTTTACTTTCCAATCAAAAATATTTTAAACTGCAATTTAACACTGGTGAAAAATGAAGAGCCTAATTTATCAACTGTCACTTGTGTATTTTAGCTTTAATCAATTTTTTTAATTAAAATTTTTTAGAAATTTGTGTCTAGGATACCAAGTTTGTTAGCAAACTGAATTTCTGTGTTTAGTCGGGGTTTTTAAAAGAAACCAATAGTTTGCTGGCACCTATCACCCGGTTACTTTGACGTTGTTCGAGAATGGTTGTTACTGGTTTTGTGTTTGTGCTGCTTTTGGTAAATGGCCTATCGTCAGCCGAGAAAGATACTAACGTGTTGCCTTCGGATAATGGCGGTGCCTCCTTAAACGCTGGTGACAAAGAAAATAAGGTATTTCATGTTAGTAAGTGATATCCTAGGTCGTGTTTGAGCCTCCAATCATTCCTGACGATGCTTTGTTGTCGATGTACTTCACTGCACCTGAAGATATCAAAAAGTACAAATTGCTTATAAGGTATCTATGTGTCTGTTTAGGTTGGTTCTTTCCTCAGCCACAAAGGACGGTGTTGATCCTGATCTTTCAAAATATGATGGAAAGTGGTCTATCGAGGTGCCAAAACTGAGCTCTGTTGAGAACGACTATGCCCTCATTTTGAAGTCGGAAGGCAAGCACCACGCTATTTCAATGGATCTTGGTCATGACTTCAAATTTGATAAGAATGAGTTCGTCGTCCAGTATGAAGTTAGGTTTATGGATGGCCAGACTTGTGGTGGCGCATACATAAAATTGTTATCAGCATCTCCCGATCTCAACTTGGTACCTCACATTTTCCTTATATTACTTGTAGAATAAATTTAATGATAAAACGCCCTACACTATAATGTTTGGCCCCGACAAGTGTGGAATGCACACAAAGGTAAGTCTCTTCAGTACTTAATGCTCCAGCTGCACTTTATATTCCGGCACAAAAACCCCAAAACAGGCGAGATTCAGGAAAAGCATATGAACCCCCCAGTTGCATCCTTGGAGTCAATTTTCACAGACAAGAAAACACATCTATTTACTTTGGGTAATTCTCTTTGTCACCGTATATTTCGTTAATAGTAATCCGCTCTGATAACTCCTTCGAGGTTTACGTTGATCAGGCAGTGGTGAAATCTGGAAGTTTACTCTCTGAATTCGTGTAAGCCCCTAATTGCTCGTTTTTCTTGGTCATTTTTACCATTCTTAACTTCGGCTTATATGCAGTCCCCCTGTCAATCCTCCCGCCGAGATCGACGATCCTAATGACAAGAAACCAGAATCCTGGGACGAGCGTGAGAAAATACCAGACCCTGATGCGAAGAAACCGGATGACTGGGATGAGTCTGCGCCCCAGTTCATTGTGGACGCGGACGCAGTCATGCCCGACGGTTGGCTTCTGGACACACCAAAACTTATTCCTGACCCTAACGCTGAAAAGCCTGTCGATTGGAATACGGAAACTGATGGTGATTGGGAGCCTCCGATGGTTGATAACCCTGCTTGCGAATCAGCTCCTGGTTGTGGACCGTGGGAGAAGCCGTCTAAGCTGAATCCCAATTTCAAGGGTAAATGGACTCCTCCAATGATCCCTAATCCAATGTACAATGGAATTTGGAAGCCCAAAAAAATCGCCAACCCCGATTATTTTGAGGACACGAAGCCTTTCCGAATGATTCCCATTGTAGGTGACGTTTTTAGTAGTTCTTTGTGGTCTGTTAGCACTTTAATATTGGTGTTTTGTTGCAGCGCGCACTTGGTTTGGAGCTCTGGTCTATGACAGCTGAGATCTCTTTCGACAACTTCTACGTAGGAACTTCAAAGAAGGGTGCCGATGATTTCGCTGCATTGACTTGGGCTATTAAGCAGAAAGCCGAAAAGGATTCGGGTATTGGTGGAGTAAGCCGTTGTTTTACAATCTGTAATCGTTAACTTATTTTTGGTGTACAAGGCGGTTTGATTATTCGCTCAGAAGTTTGAGGTGATGTGCAATCTATGTGGTTAAATATCATTTCCCGATCAAATGTGTCAGTCAACTTATTGTTTATAATTCAAACATCGTAATGTTGGTAACAGCATTCCATCCTCTTATGGTTTTCAGTGTGAATTTGCATGTATGGTGGAAGCTGTTTACAATGTTTTCTTGATTCTGCCTCTTAATGTTGTAGAAGAGTGTTCTAGACGCTATCCGGGAAATGTCTTCCGAAAATCCATGGTATGTGGTACTGGGTGTTACCGCAAGCGTACTTCCATTGGCTTTGGTCATCTATTTTTGTTGTCGTACGCCCGCTTCCGTTGATGCTGCTCGCCACAAGAAAACCGACGAACCCGTTCCTGATAGCAAAAGCGACGATTCCGATGCTGCTGTCTCTAGTCACAAGGAAACTGAGGCAGAAAACAGCGAAAGTGATGACAGTAAAGAAGTGGAGGAGGTAGGACGCGCCGATGAAGATGAAGGAAAGGAGGATGAGGAGAGAGAAGAAAATGGTGATGATGATGAGGAGGAGGATAAAGAGGAAGAAAAAGAAATGGTAAGAACAAGCTCTCTCTTGTGCTCTCTTAAAAATGCATTTCTAGTATGTACGAACTTTATCTCTGACAAGCGAGTCTTGTTAATGTCTGTAGTCGTTTCATACTTGTATTCATTAGCTTGGTTGCACATCTAAAAAATCTCAAGATGCCATTTGCTTATTCAAGTGGATTCGCTTCAGTTTACCAGTAGTGCTATGATTGTTTTGGAAGGGAGGCCTACTGTAATTTTCATGTATTTCTAACCAGTGTGACTTTTTTGTAGCACAAAAAGTCGTCAGCTCGTCAAAGAACTCGTAAGGAGTAGGAGGTTATCTCCTATGATGAAACCCAATTTCGCAACCCTGTATGGCCTATTTCGTTGTCGCCCCTGAGTGTACAAAATGTCGCTTGTTCTTCACACCTTCTGGTTTTGTTCCCTTCCCTTGTCTTCGTTCCATATCCTAGCTAATCCTCTCTGACTCTCCATCAAATCCTTTCTGTTTCTACTTCCATTTTTCCTGTATGCATCAGGTTCGGAAGCCTTGTTATTTTCCATCTGTTGACTGTAAAGAAGTGTGTGTTGAAACAAAATTTTTTGGAGTAATGTTCTGCGGCTTCATGTTGAAGGTTGCTCAATAGTTAGATCCGACACACTTTTACGATCGTATATTCCTATATTTTTGAGTCATGAAAGTGGCACAAACTGCTCCCTAGTTCATGTTTTTGAAGCGCGGAAGCAGCTGCTCGTTTTGTGACTTTTGATCGGAGATACCTAATGATCCCTTGTTGTGTGACCTAAGGCATGCTTTAAATCTCATTAGAATACACAGTTGATTGGTATGGTTCACAGCACGTGCCATACACATTTTCTAATCCGTCAATGGTGCAGCTTCTTGTCAGTGGAGGCCTGAGTTGCTACTTTTCTGAGTAATTTTGTCGATAGCTCGGTCTCCTGATTCCGCTAAATCTCGCTTTTCCCACCAATCCCACAATCGTGCACACCCTAAGACATCATGCACTGTAGTAGAACAAACGCCTACGTCCTTTTTTTATCAAGCTGCTTACTTTAAAATCACATAGAATTCAATGAATAGTCTTCAGGTCTCGAGTTGTTGAAGCCGTTTGTATTTCGTCACAATTGTGAGGCGCCACCAACGTAAGTACTCGGATTCGCTACAGTTCCTTTCCATTATCAGGAATACTAACTGCATTTGTGGAGTACATTCACCCTTAATATAAACCGTTTTGATTACTTTCGCTGTTCCATTTGAAATAGATCTGCATGTGACGATTTTCTTCACATACTGATTGAAGCCTGTTATTGCCTACACTGTTTGTAGTGACGAGTGCATTTCAAAAATGGAAGCTTACAGGTGGTAGTGGTGTTAAAGTACGGTATGTCGAGGGGAAGCAGTTGAGCCTTTTGGGATGGTTTCGCGTTTTCGTAAAGATCAAATATTGCTTTTACAAGGGAACGTTTATAATTGGACTTGTTGGTAATAGTTAAGCTAAATGTCTTTCAATGTCAGAACTACTGTATCAGAAAGAGCACCTTATCCAAACGAGAAAATGCGAAGCATTCAGTACCTACAGACACTTCCATTTAGACATACTAGTTACGATAGTAGAAACGGTGTGTGTCGAGGCGTGAAAATTAGAGATTTCTGGATGTTTGTGTGGTTTTTTCTGAAGTTATTTAGCTGAATTTAAAGTGTACAAAATATGCGCCAAATTAAACGCCTTCGTTTTGTTTCTGTCTTGCATGACGCCAGATCTGGCGTACGAGACATAATCCTTGTTTTGTGATTCTGGAGGCTTTACTCCGTGCTAAACTTGTAATCACTGTGATTAGTCACGAGTTTAAGCACTGAAACAATCGACGCTGCCACAGAATTAGCACTCACGCTAGCCGCGATTTTATAAACCACTATTGCAGACTATAGACAAGTTAACTATCAGAGGCCACAGATTAAATTTCCCAGGCCAACTCCAAAGCAATCCGACGACAATACCTTGACGTTGAATTTCAAGTCCATTATGGCTCAACAAAAGGCAAATACGCTTAGGGGTAATAAAATGTGAGGTGCGTATATTTGGAAAAGAAGTAATCTTTTTGTGTTTGCAATAATCAGTTGATTTACCTAGACGCCTGTGATGGAATCGTCAAATCGCAATGTGAAAGGGGCGCCAAAACAGTCTTATTTGAAGGGTATTAGTAGAATTACTGTCATTGCATTATGCCTGCCTGGTAGTCATTGTGATTGCCGATGCACCCGCTAAGTATCACTTGGAATTGTTTTTACTGAGCTATCAGAGTTCCGCGTCAGACTAACTCCTCTTAACCATGTCATATAATTTTTTTTAAAAAGGGCTCATTGTCTGTCGTTGTTGTTGGGTTTTTCGCATAATTAACATCAGTGCACCCATTTGAATGGGGTAACTCCAGTCTCAGTACATGGTTCATGTTGAGTCATATTTAAAATCCCATTTTGAAACAGTAGTGTTACAAAGTTTGCCTATAAAACTGTTTAACATCAAAATACGTGCAATGACTCGCGATGATTCACGTCCATTAACCCAGTGGTCGCCTTCCCCACCTCAGTGACCTCTCACGGCGCCGTTATCCTTCATGTGAAACTGCCTGCTCACCCTGATTACCTATGCGTGACCTCCCCCAAGCCACACGTCTCATTCATCTCACCATTCAGACATGTGCATTTTCGCAAGTTCTCCCAGCCTGTATTGACCATCACCCTCTATTATGTTGAAACTTATGCGCCATTGCGCGACTGTCACAAATAAGTTGAGCTATCCGGTAAACGGTTATACCTGCCATCTCTGATCATCCTATCCTCTCGAGCGAATACAAGAGTCGGCCTCAGCGTGATTCGAAACTATGTTCGGGGCCTTCGATGTGCACCTTCCGTTTCACCCTTCAATGCCAAATGTTCCATTGAGTAATTGTGACGATTTTTACTCGAACGAGTTGTTTTACGAAATCGGGTGTTGGCCTCTCGGTATTTTAAAAAAGTCGTATTAGGTTAATAAAAGCTGTTTTCGATGTTTGTCGTAAGTTCATGCACAACTCATTGTTGTGCAAGAGATAAAATTAAAAAAACTGATAGTTGCACATCACGACAAGTAATTATGCGATAATCTCCCACTAATTCATTCCGACTGTTAAGCTAATGTTAGAACCGAGACGTCAAATATCACGTTAAGCTTGCAAACATTAAATCTATTTTTCCGGTTCAAAAATGCCCATTTGAGACGAACATAGACCGATGGCGAGTTTTACTGCTTTTGTCGACCCTGTTCTTTAATAACCCTTAACAAAGAGAAAACGCAAGACAACAGATACAACAGTCTATTCGCGCACAGGCACGACAAGTGTGAGCTGAGCCGGAATGGCATTTACTTCTAAGTCGTGAATAAGGTATCCAGCTTCGAATAATTTTTTTTCTCTTTTAAATGTTATGGTTTAGGGAGAAGAGCCTTGCCTCCATTCTTAAATTAGCGGTGGATTAGCTCCGGGAACGATTTCTATGTGTAACAAATTAGTTTTTTTATAATAAACTCATGGCATATAATTTCAAAACAATGGTACAAAGCAAGTTAACCATTATGCGGAATTAGTGTGCAGTGCTTGTGAGACGGCGGGCGAACTGAAGATGCATCCTTTCCTTAACTAATTAGTTTTAGTTCATAGAATGGGTATGCAAAAACGAAAATGCATGGGCAGGAGGTATGTAAATCGTGTTAAACCAGTGGGTGTGGTCATGCGTGAGGTGGGTGACAAGTGTCTCTAGGCCGTGCAATGTCTTAAGAGAACAGTTGCTTGGTCGTGGGCTGGGCCAACACACAGGCCACGGTGCTGTAGCTGCATGATTGTCCACAGCACCTATTTCATCGAGCATTAGATTACCACGGTCTCCACATAATGAGTATTGAGAAATAATTGCATTGTGCATTTCAACCTCATTAGAGCACTCGCGAAATAGTTAATGGAGTTTGAAATCAACAACTAAATGATCGTCACTTATTGGAAATGAAATTGGTCCAATTCTTGAGTTTGAATTTCCACAAGTAGCCGCTTAAAGGGGTTAGCAAATCATATTTAATATCGATTTTGACAACTAATCGATGACGTTCTTTTTGGTTGTAATGAATATGTTGCGGCCAGACACAAAGCGAAGTTCCAAAAGAAGAAATGCGACAAGAGTGAAGAGACGCAGATAACGCCCGTATCGAGAGGTTTGTTAATGCTGTAGTAGCTTGGTTTTTACAAGGTGACAAGTCGTCAGTTTAAATAGCTTCGATTGATATCGACCACAGAGCGAAAAGAGCTACATTAAGTGCATTCGCGTAAATCGATTGATTTGTGTTCGCTCATGCTCACTTACCGTGGTTGCTCGCTACCCGCTACAAACATATAAGCCCAACCTAGAATCCCACTAACTTATAAAAATAGTTTGTTGTTCTAAGAATGGGACAAATTTTCGGATCAATATAAAGTGACTATTTTAGGCCCTCGTTTAGTTTATTATTTCGAAGGAAAGTTATAAAGCTTTAAAGATCGACCGAGAGAACTAAGTGAAATAAATCAGAATGTTCACGCTTTCTGCCAGACCCTAACCCAAGTTACATAAATATGTCAGGTTTGGGTCTTCAGCTTCGGATTTTATGACATAAGCTGCTGTCCTGCCCGCCATAATAACAGGTTAATGCGAATCATCTTTAAGTTACTAAATCATGGAGGTGCCGTGCAACGTGTCTATTGAGCAGGTCTTATATGGGTAGGTTACCACTAGTCAGTCCCTCTGAGATGGCCACACCATCAGAGTTGACTACTAGGTATACGGTAGAAGACTAGTGGAGGGAACCTGATGTAGTCCAGACTGGCGCATACAAATGCAGAGGATGTAGAGCTTATGAAGGGGTTAGAGCGGGGATAGGACGAGGATGGCCCTATTAAAAGTAGTGGTTGCCCTTAGGCCAATAGGCATGCCTTGAAGAAGACTAGTTCTGTGTGCATTACAGCCATCCAAAATATGTCTTCCATTCTTCAAGGCAGAGACAGATTTATCTAGTTATCTTATTCCATCTAAATTAGCTCCTTTTAGTTGTTATTATACTTCATTGAGAATTGTTTGTGAGATAAGACCTATAGATAATCTTTAAAAAAATGGAAATTATCTGGCTGGTTCCCACTCTAAAATTGGTGGAGTTAAATACATTTAATCTTCAAATGTAGTCGTAGTGCATGCTTTTGAATGGGCCACCGAGACGTTAAAACTTGTGCCGGTTCTTTACAAATTAACCCTTCATGCATTTTTAAGCTTTTAGCAATCTAACATTCATAGATCATGGTTAGTGAAACCACAACTCCGCCTAGGGATAGCCTCCAGCTCCCATTTGCCAAATGGAAATATGGGCGAAATATATTCTTTCCTTCTCTGACGAATACACTGCTTGATGGCAAGAGTACATCGCAGATCTTGATTTGAAATCACAACACAGCCCAATACAGGTAACTGAGGCTGTCAACACATTCCATTGAATCCTGATATGAGAACTTCTAAATGTTTCTTCCCTACAATGAACACATTGCAAGCCGGTGACCTGGAAGCAGCTCTCGTGTTTGACAGTCAACTATCATGACAATGCAAGCCCTCTGTACCAAAAGTGGAGGAGCAAACCAAAAGGGTGTATACTTAGTGGACATTTTCATTCAATTTAATAACAGTATCACAAGTTGTAATCTTCCTTTTCTACCGGTAGTCTCCAGATCGTCTAATTTATTTCAATGAATCGGGACTTCCATAATATTAATGTTACTTGACAGTTTAAAGACAAACAATTAAATCCTCTCAACATGTCTACAAAGGCAATTGCTGCTCATCACTTCCAGTCCATTTATCCCTGGGTTTGATAGTGATGGTTACAATTTTGTCACATTCGATCTCTTAATATGACACTGCTGTGTCACTTCACCTCTATTAATCCCCCGTGACTCATCGAATCAGTCACCTGCGACATATGTAAGCAAATCAATTTGACCTTTAATTATGTCTTTAAAAAAGGTATAAAAGGCTCTCTGCAAATGGCCTTTTTGTTTGAGCCATTTAGTGGAAGAGGTAGTGCAAATTGATAAGTGATTCGCTAAATTGCACTGGGGATTTGACTGTTTACCAATAACCCAAATAATCTCTGATGCTGCTAAAATATTTTAATAACTCTACTTACACAGTACAACTCAGAGCAAGCACGTTTCCTAAAAAAACTATCAAATTAGCATCACTGGTGTTGCAATACGTGATTAAATATAATTTCCACCGTAGAATCGTTCTTTTGACGTTTTCTCATAACTCGATGCCGAGGAAGCACTGGACTCCAGCATCTACCTTACACTATAGCTAGAACTGTACATGCAACGAAGTCCAATTTGTATAAGACTAAACTCACAGTTAAAATCACGAATCCATCTTTATTTGCCATATTTAAAAAAATCAAAACACAATGCCTTTAAAAAAACTGGGTCCATGTAAAAACTACCTTGAAGATCAAACTTCAGACTACTGTTATCCCCTAAAGCTCCTGATTATGTGCTATGTTCTACGTATAAATAATGAGAAAAATTTTAACATAAACTACAAATGCAATCTAAGCAAATAAAAACGTTGGATTCTAATAAATTAAAGGTCTTTCTAAAAAAATTTTTAAGGTCTGATTAATTCCTGGAAGACTGCTACTCGATAATACCATAAATTATGAGTGCCACAGTCAAGGGAAATTGTCTAGAATTCATCATTGCATTTAGAACAATTTTTAATGAAATATGAGAATCTTCATATTGGGCAGAGATTCGAATACTGCATCAAAGACCTAGGATTACCACAGTTCTTTTTATAAATGCACGGTGAATTTAGAGGAATTCTGGTGTACCCCACTATGATACTCAGTTTTAGGCATGTTAGTGTCTTTCACATATGCATTGATTATAACAACACTTTAATTTTAAATTAAACATGCAATAATAAAGATAATTCAATAATTACCACATTAAAATGCTAATTGATAAACACATTTTATGCGCATTACCTCGCATTCTAGTCTCCACAAATTGAACTTTGTTTTTCAGATTACCAAGACAAACTGGCTACAAGCAAACTAGCTTTATTTAACAAATACAAACAAAAGGTTGTGCGTAAAACAAATTTTTTGAGCAGCTGCGGTGTTGTAGTTGAATTTCCTGGCACAATTTGCAACAGTTTGGTTTGTTTTCTTTAAATTAGGCGAACATTTTAAAAATCGCCTGCATTTGTGTCTGCGTACACGAATGGCATCAGATTGGTTAACATTAGCCAATTACTGCGATCGACATGTTTGATTATTTGAAGGTGGCCAATTAAAACTAAAATAAACAGCCCTAGTGCTAGATATAGGGGGGATGTTGGGTGAGGATTTGGTTTCGTAGATTAATTGGTACACTATAGTTATTTTGGATCATTCTTCTTTTGGCCTATTGTTTTAACACTAATTGTCTTTGCGGTGATATACTGTATTGACGAAGAATAAGTGGTAATACGCAATAATTTAAAAAAGTATGTCAGGTCTGCACCTTATTATGCGGGCTTTCTTCCACTCTGAGTGATGACTACCAACTCAAAATCCGTGAGTATAAGCAACGGTCTGTCGTCATCAATTGACGAGAATGCCTCTTTCGAGTTGGATGGAGCTGGCATGTTACTAGTTGAACCGCCTCAACGCCCGACGTCAGAACGTGTATCTCAGAAAAAAACCTCGGGACCCTCGATTTCATTCTCCAGAGTATGATCCAATTTTGTGTTGACCTTGCTTAGGAAATGTTGCTGAAAATCAAGGAGTCCGAATTGTCACATCAAGAACCTGATGAGTCGTGTATACTTACCAGCTCAAAAGTCCTGTTCAAGATTCTCAGGCCCGAGTGCAAAATCCTGGAGAGGCAATCCAGTAAATAGTGTCTTTAAATGTTACATGCCTTAGAGTCCCAAGACCACGGCAGCATCGTTCTTGGTCCACAGAAACGCTCTTGGAATACAGGTTGCCATGTTTCCCAAACCAAACGTTGTCCCCAAGATTCTACTGTTTCGAAGACTCATAAAAACTCCCATGAAAATAAGTTTTCGCGTGGTGATTTCAAACGTGATTCTAAAGGATCTGAACGGAGTTCGGGTCGTTCTGGTTTCAATAGTAATTCTGGTCATAGCCGTTCTGGTGTACAGGACAGAGGTGATGCCACTTCTACAAGCACCATGTCTGACTGTTTCCACAACACAGAAAAAGAACCCGAGTGGTTTACTGAAGGACCTGAAACAATAAATGACACCGTTGAACTCGGCCTAGTTATTGATGATGGCGATGCAAAAGTTCGTAAATCTCTAAAGGACAAAGAATCAGAGAATTCGTCTCGAAATCCTTCCGAGGTTGACAGTGCCATTCTCTCGGTGGATAGTGTTAAACTCTCAACCTCCCCATCTTTGGTTTCGACCAATGCAAACGCAGCGGACTTGTTAAAGTTGCTTGATTTACCTAAGAAAAATGATGAGGGCAGCAGGTTTCGCCATCTTTTTGAAAAGGCCAGTCCGAAGACGTCAGTTGCCAATGTCGGTGGTAGCACCGCTATTTCTGGTATTTGTTTTTTTACCACTTTACTTCAGAAAACGTCAACTCGAAATTGCTTCAACTGCTAGCTTGCTCTGGCGATTCATCAGCTCATCAAAAACAAATTCATCATTTGTCTACTTCTCAGCCATCGGGTAGGAACAACAACATTTGTCACACGTCTTTAGCAAAGGACTTGGAATTGGCTTTGAAGGCCCTTTTTCTTGGAGGCGACAATCAGAAATCTGGGAACATGTCTCTTGGTAACCTCCAAGCCGTTAGTTGTGAGTTTCTTGGTTCTGATTTTCACATTTCGTTGTAAATCAAGGAAACAACTTGATAGCATGTATCGTGTTCTTATCGGGCCTTTATCAATTATCGTACAACAGTATTCGGTTTGCGCCAGAACGCGTCTGATCAGTTTCCTCCTTCCTTTTAGCTTGGCTTCATTTGCGTATACCTTTAATTCCCGTCAAGAGGGTGTTCATGGTAGTCTGGTTACGCTTGTCCTCTCAATTTGCCTAGCATTATAGTTTGTGATAATTCTTGACTCATCTACTCAAGACTTGGCTTTTGCCACCTTAATTCGATTCTCCTTTAATTTTCCTTCATATGTAAATAGCTCCAACGGTAACGTCAAAGCCAAATATCATGGCTCCAGCTCCAACCGTGGAGGAGATCGAGGCTGTTGCATTTTCTGCTGGAAGTGGTGGAGCTCCACCGAAGCATCCTTCAGCACAATCATGCGCCCTACTTGATCAGTTGGCCCACCAATGGATTCTTAAGCAGAGGGCTCGACCTCAATCTTGCGGCTTCGGTGATGGTGATCACTTAACCCCCATTAGCCTAGAAGTACTTGAGGCAGTACAACAACGAGAAAATTCCGTAAGAACTTTGTATTTTAATGTTTCGATATTTCGTATATGGAACTCGTGTAAATTAGACTTCGATTGCCTTTTGTTCTCATGAGCGCTTTTAGCTTTTCAGGGCATCTATCACGACTACTTTTCTCCACATACCGTTTAATTATTTTACACCATATGCCGCTTTTTTGGTGTTGGCCTAAGCGGTCTCTCCTTCGTTGGACCTGTACTAACGTCAAGACCTCACATGTCCTTGTCACTTTAGCTCCTGAGCACGACAGTTTCGTGTCCACCAGGCCTCGAACCGTACCAGGAGCGCAGTGTGACCAATTGGAACGAAACATTTCTCTCAGGTGCACCTTTGGTACCCAGTGGGGTTCTTGGCTCCCCTTCTTCATCTTCGTCACTTATGAATAACTTTTTGGCGGCCAAGATGCACCAAAATCTCCCCATTAACCGTCAGGTGCCGCCACCCCCTGGTCTCATGCCGCCCACTGATCCTCCGGTGGCTCTTCAACAACCCCAGCGAAGGCCCATCGTCAAGAGTCTCTCGGTGGTTGATCCATCAGTGGTCCAAAAGCAGTCAAGACAACAGCCTTGTTTTGGCTTTAACCCCAACCCCGGAATGCCTACTCCCGGCCTTCGCCCTGGTAGATAAATTTAAGGGTTTTAACTACCACTTTTTCAGTTACTTGTGCAGGAAATTACTTCTTGATTTTGTCAGTTGCCCTGTCGTTGTCCGTGGCTGGTCGTGATGGCGCTCAGTCACAGGGTGTGGAAAGTGGAGTCAGTCTTAGTAACATCTCGTAACCCGGAATCGTTTGTTATCTCGTCCTACGCCGGTGCACCTTTCCCCCCTTTCTAAACTAGGCGATCCCTTGTGGTTCTCATTAATATGTATTATTTAAGATAAGATTAATTAGCCCTTTTCTAAATAGGTCAGGATTTGTACATTCTTGTCGGTCATACTAATTCCCTATTATTAGAATGATGCATTCGCACAGCAGCCTATTTTAGTTCGTATGTGACTAAGAGGTTTGTGCTCAGTGCCATCAGTAGGTATACCCACGCACAATCGGTTTTCTCTCACGGACGTCGTATAAAATTATTTCTTCCACTTTCATCTGAGGTTCTTTTCGCGTGCACATGCTTCCAAAACCATGTTTTTCATTCTTTTATGTATGAATATAGTAAGTAGGCATTATTTTTGCACAACCTATTATTTTGTTTTCCTATTTGGAGCCTTACTTCACTACAAAAAAATCATAAATTGAGCACTGCTTATTCGTAAATTAAATTGTACCCAAAATAGAGTTTAACCCATCTTAACTGGCGTTTTTGACCATGTCATCTGTGCGTTCTTCCTTGAATAGCCACGGGTGTGGAGGCTGCACTATTACAATTGAAGAAGAACGCTAGTACAGGTCTACCAACTTACTCAGTCCCACACAGTTCCGCATTTTCTTCCTCTGGAGCCGTTTGCGCTGGCAATAGTGGCAGCAACCGTCTGGAACATCTACTTCTCGCCCCTTCGGCTCGAGCCTCAGCTGGAGGGACCTCATCGTCCCATACTCAGTCCCAATTTAGACAAAACGTCTCTGTACCAAATCTACTTCTACCTCCGTCGTGGCAGGCTGCCGTACCGCCTGTAGCCTCGTCGTCCTCATCAATTTCAACCGACTTATTTCGCTCAGTTATTGCAGGAAGCGGTGGCGGCGGCGGCGGCGGCAGCAGCCCAAACTCCGCCCCTGGTCTCGAGCTTACTGCCGTGCACAAAGATGCACCTTAAGCCGTCTATTCGTGCTCTCTTGTAACCTCTTGTTGGTTTTTCTTGTTCTTTTCGAAAAGGAAACAGAGGGGGTTGTCCTACATCTTGCTTCCATTATTTAGCGAAAGTTCGCCCTCGCGCATACTTTTGTCCTAAAAAAAATAATTGACCACTTCTTTATCATTGTGGTCCGGATTATGCGCCACTTGGATGACATTAAATTGCATTTCCCGTGCGAGCTGCCGAGTGGACATTCTCACACAACACGTCTCTGATGTGTTTGTCGATGACTATATCACTTGGGCAAATTTAGGGACTAGGTTTGTGTACTCATGCCATTTGCCGTTCACTTCTTCGGTAACAGATTCTTGATACCGTGCCGTTGCCTCGCTGATAATACCTTTCAGTGTACGCTCAAATTGGCGTTCAAGCTGGCTATGGCGAGTACAATCGGGGGGGGGGGTGAAATTTTGACTACCTTCACGTCGGCGAGGCTGCACAACACCCTGAGATCATTTCTCTATCAAGCCGATGCAAGTTTACAAAGCTTCGGGGGGCTCTGTGCGTGTGGTCACGCAAGGCGATATCTTTTCATTCAGTTTCTTATATTGCATGGCAATATGCAAGCCTTTGAATGGAAAACTTATGGCCGTTTTACTGTGCTTCCAGTTATTGACGTTTGTTTGTTGTCGATCTGGCACTCATATTCTCGAACGCAAGATCGTGTCTGATGTGCAGGCGGTTCACTTTAAATTGTGGTCAATTCAAGTGAGTCGCTTTTTATTCACAGTCGATATTCAAGCAGGGAGTACTTCTAGAGATTCCGTCAAAACAAATTTACGTACTGCATTCCCACGGACATGGCAACTATTGAAAGAACTTTGATAAGCATGTGGTTACCCCCGATCGACTCATTATCCCTTTTCAAATAGCAGCTTTTTTGTTGTTTAAATGACCAAGTATATTTTTATGCCTGTAACGGGTTCTTAATAGTTACTTTTGGGAGTGGGGAAGCCGTAAGTCTCATGGCACTAAAATTTCATGCCATAATCAAACTATCAGTTAGGATAATTACAAAAGGTAAGTCAAATTCTCAGTAAAATAAAGCAGCAAGAATACAGTTTGAGGATTGTCCAACATTGGGATTCGGTTCGGTGGTCGTGATGCTTATCCCAATTGTCCATCGTCGATAAAAATGTATGCCCTCAGTGAAACAGAACTTTGCTCGGTTCTCTCATATAATTTTCTATGAATGTCTGAAAAGGCAAGTGTGAAATCCGTGACGGTGACCATTACATTTTGAATTTACTTATTTACCAGGCTCGGGTGAATGCGACATCAATTGCCTCCCAAAATACATTAATTTTTGTTGCATAGTGATTTGAATACTTGTCTTAGGCAATGTTCCTAACACTATGTTAAGCCACATGACTAGCCCATTTACTCCCATTGTAAATTGATGGATTAATGGTCATTTTCCAACCCTTTTTTCTAGTCAAACCGGATTATCCAATTTGTCAAAATGAACCCATTCATTGTTGTTTAAGAAGATTTCTGAAGGTTACTACCAAGAAAAAGCATGCTGCTGGACTAATATCCCATATTAGCCCATGTTTCGCAAATCTGCTTAATTACTACAAAATGTGCCGACGAATCCGAAACAGGTCTAAATTATATTAACATATTCAATTTTACTCAAATATTCGACTACAGTAAGGTATCTCTCGAATTAGATCGTCAAGGTGGTTTCCTTTTCCCTCTGTTCCTTATATAATCGTTCTCCAAATTAACTATTCAAGAAGTTACCAGTCTTCGTCCCATACCATAGTCCGTGTATCTGTCTGGACTGTACTTCTCGTGTCGATTTCTAAGAAATCCTTCTCTTCCCCTAGGTCAGATCCTCGCTTGCACATTACACTAAGACTGTCATTTGGATCCCTAGATGTCAAGGTCGCTTGTTAGAGCATGTTCCGAGCCGAATTGACTCGTAGATTGTATCGTTAGATCAAGGTGTGTGATTTTATCCACATATTCCATTAAAAAATTCGTGTATGTATCTTAGGATCAAGGTCGCAAACAGTAATTTTTGGGTATCTGTGTCTTCAAAATTTGGATTACCATTCAGTTTGAGCAAAACAAAAAGTTGGCACGTATTTTTACCAGAAGTAAAGTAGTCCTGTAATTTGTGAGTTAGCTTGACAGATTCCGCAGCTTCATAATCACCTCATTCTGGGTATGTCAATGTAAACTTTATATACTAACCGCTTTAGACGTAGGTAACAGGAATTTGAGAACTTCCGCGCATAAATTCATTGACACATTAAGTAGCAATCGCTTTTGTCAAAACTTAAATTTTATAAGTGGGTAATATAGAGGCTTTGACATCAATTCTAAGTCATACTAACGCACGAAGCCGTACCCGTTCAAGTCTGAGAACGGCGCGCAGCTGTTTACCTCGGATGTCATAAAAAATATTCTCTAACATAAGAAAGAACTCCTCCTGACTACGTAAAGTTGGATATTCTATCTTCATTGGCCTTCGAGAAGTGCTCTGGAAAACCCCGCCAGGCATAACTCCCCGATTCAATAATTCGCGAACCGACCCTTTATCGTGGTGATAGTTTCTTTATCAACAGTTAAAATGGTTGCGAACTTTGCCTGCCTAAGAATTCTCTCCAAACGACTATATTCTCGCTCTCAATATCCCACAGATCCAGATTCTATTTTATTGTTGCATCAACAATTTAGTCACTAAATAGCACCAACGGGGCGTCACAATCCACCATGTTCGACGTTAACAACTGGAGAAATGTGATTGATGCAACGGAGGTGATACAGTGAATCGGGAGAATCAATAGCCAACACGTCATTACCGACCGGTTGTTTGAAAGTTTACTTAATTACCGACCACATTGCTCGCTTAGCGTTTACTTGGATACTGAGACGTTTATCAGCAAGTACAGGACCATCTTCTAAAACAAAAAATCTACTTGTGATTTTAAGATTATACAGCAGAAATCAATTTTAAGAAAGCACTACCTAGCCATTTCGAATTTTAAGCGATTTGTTTACACGAAACAAGGGTGGCATTTTTTACAAAAAAATATGTTGGGAGCGTGAGCGCAAATATGCACGATTAATTTAATCATCCGAGTAAAATAAGTGAAATATAAAACAAGATAAAGATACGATCAGCAAGTCAGTCCCTGCAATTTGAAGTTGTCGAAATGCTACGTGGACGAAGGGCATAGTTGTGATCATGCCCTGTATGCGATGAACGCTGATCGGTTGAAGAAGAGCTTTCGTGGGATGAAGGTCGGCTAGGTCGCCGCATAGAGCTAGGGGTATCGACAGCGTCACACTCGCCTTCATCGCCTGCTTCTCTCGACTCGAGAATAGAAAGGCGAATACCAGCTACACCTTTTTTTGTCAAAGCCACAGAATCACGCTTAATTCTGCGACTTCGACCTGAGCGGTCTTTGCGATACTACAAAAGAATGGAACACAAAAGTAACTGGCAAATATTCTAAAACTTTTGTTCTGACGATAAAGTAACGTGGGGCATTATCAAAAACCAACAGCTGAGTACAGATATGGAGACAAATAATAATGGAACATGTGCATGAAATAAAGGACGCAACGCCAACTTTACCCGTATTACAATAATGTAAACAAATAAAAAGGAGAAAAACTGACACTACCTAAGGCAGTTGCGTTACCTGACACATATTTGTAAAGTCGATCACATAGAAGTGGCCGGCAACAAAGACCTCACAGAAAGCAAGAGACTGGGAGAAAGCAGTTTCGATATCAACGGCAGTTCTTTCATCGTACTGCCACCAGCCGTTGTGACCTTCGTAATACCAAGCGAATTCGGGATTCGTACGATCTATAGAGTAATACTTTAGTGTCAATGAAAAAAAGTTGGCCCGGCTTAAATAAGATGATGCTGGATTTAGGAACTTCATCAGAATAAAATTACGAATGAGGATGACAAAGAAACAGTTGGACATGAGGAAGCGCACCGATAAGGTACTTATAAACCTGTTCCGGTGCACTCCTGCTAGAGATGCATTCGTGAAACGAAAGACGACTCAAAGAAGGCTGGAAATGAAACAATTTCAGGAAGTCAATAAAGTGTCATAAGAATCAGTTTCGGAAGTTTTGAGGGGCAGTTAGGCATAAAAAACATATCAAGGATTTCCAGGACCCAATATGGGAATAAAAACTAGGTATCATATGAAACAACGATAGCCAATTTTGTATAATTTATGAATAGACGGTAAATTGGGCGAGCATGCTACCAGAGAAAAAAGTAACTCATAGGAACAAACTATAAACTGATAACTGCAATAGGTAAACGTTCGACATACCTACTGGCTGCGATGTATTTGTGGGCCGAATAACATTTGGATTATCAAAAAAGTTCATACTAATTGCTCCGCGACAAAGAGGGCATTGCCTCCTATGAAAAGCCGAGCCCTTAATGCAAAGGTAGCAAAATATGTGGCCACAGGATATTTCAACGGGTTGAAGTAAAGGCTGCAGACATATAGGACAATCGGAAGCATTACTCCCGTCCATTTGAAAATGACCACA